TTTTTCCTTTCCTCCCTTTCCTCCTCTTTTCCCTCCTCCTCTGGGTGCGCGCGCGCTGCGAACCTTCCCCCGGCGCTGCCCAGCCCAAGGCAGGGGGAGGGGGATCCGGGAGAGGTGTGGGGGTGTGGGTGTGTGTATGTGTGTGAGTGTGAGCAGGGGGGGCTGCGGGGGGCGAGGAAGGCGATCCGGTTTGCTGAAGGTCAAACCCCAGGAGCTTGTTGCGAAGGGTCTGTAATTCCTCCGGGGAGGGAACGGGGCGGGGAGGGAGACCGGGGGGGGGAAGGGTCTGCTGCTCTGCTGCTCCTCCCGATTAATTCGCCGCTTGCTTGCAACAGGGTTCGCAGCGCTCTGCTGCCGCGTCTGCCCCCCCAATCCTCCTCCTCCTTCTCCTCCGCGCTGCCTCCCTGTGCACGACGGAGAGCGAGCGCTGGTAAACAAGAGCTCGGCGTCGCTCCGCCGGCGCTTCTCCGCTCTGCGGCCGCGCGGGGACGGGGCTTGCGCCCGCCCGCCTTCCCTTCCCTTCCCTTCCCTTCCCTTCCCTTCCCTTCCCTTCCCTTCCGCGCGCGCTCCCGTTCCCCCCCGCGGGCTCCCCCCGCCCAGGCGGCGGCGCCGGCGGCGCGCGCGGAGGCGGCGGCGGCGCGAGCGAGCGCCGAGAAAAACCCGGAGCGGAGCGGAGCCGGACCGGGAGGATGCTGCACCTCGGGATGCTGCGGGGCCGCCGCCGCTCCTGCCTCTGCCCCGGCCTTCCCAAACCGGGAAACGGCAGCAGGAGACCTGGGGGATACAGCGAGCATCCTGCGGGGCGGCGGGAGAGCCCACGAGCGAGCCCTGCCAGTGGAAACACTGCTATGTTCCTGACAAATAAATAAATATATTCAATTAAACATATAAAAAAGGCAGGGATGGGATTAGGAGGAAGGAGAAATCCATAGCTGTGATTTTTGCATGGCGTGTTTGTTTATTTATGGCATTTAATGGAAGCTGCTCCTCAGTTTCATACTGAGAACAGGGCCAAGGGCTGAGCCCGGAGCGCTGCTCCCAGGGATGCGGGTCAGGAGCGAGGGACAGGGATGCCAAGGCTTGGCCCAGTGCAGGCGACAAACCACGGTGGAACACGCCCCAAGAACACGCCCCCATTCACACTCACCATCCTCTCCTCACACGCTCACCATCCCCATCCAACCCTCCAGCATTGTCACTCCGTTTCTCAGCTGCTCACTCGTACCCCTCGATGACATTGGGCACCCAGGCCCCAAATGATGGGGACATGGGATGAGTTGGAGCAGAAAAGGTTTGGGCTTTTCAGACTCGGAAGACGTGGGCCGTGTTCCCGCTGTTTCGCCGGAGCTCGTAGTAGCCATGCTGTACGGCATATGGGTGTCCTGAGTAATCACAGATTTGTTGCAATACTTTGGCATGGGGAGATAGCAAAATGATGCTGAAGTATAAGAAAGCAGACATCTGTGAGCATTAGCTATATTCTAGGCTGTTGGTTGTTTTTTTTTAAAAAAAGTACATTAAGAAATTCACAAATGTCACATTATTAATGCAAATGTCAAAATTAAGTTTTTACATTTAAACCTGAATTCTTGAGCATCTTGTATTACAATATCCTTCATTGACACTACCCCATCATTTCCAACAACCTTGTACTGTACGTGTTTTTCTTCTTGTAGTTTTCCCATCCATTCTTCTACTGTTTGCCTTGTGAAAATGGTCCTGTTGTCTGAATTACTCATTAGCTCTTGTACTCCTTAGGAAAGATGGAAATGTTCAATTCTGTGTCACAGAAATTGAAGGGAAGATCCTCACTGAGTACAACAGGGCTAGGATTGCCACATGAGCACACCTATGCAGGACTCTGTCAATAATTCAAGAATAACTCAAAACTATAACCCTCCCGAGATTCCCTGTAGGAAGATCAGACATTTTCACCTGAAACCATCCTGGACTGCCACATGTGTGGTTGGTTGATTTTATCAACCACACACAGGCTCTCATGTCCTCAAATTGAACCAGAGAGATCTTCATGTGCCATAAATTTTTACTGTTGCTGGGTACAGCTGTGGCTGCTACGGGCGCCGGTTCTGAGCAGAACAAGTGTCCTTTCTATGCATGTCATGGCATTGATGCAGCATAAATTGTAACGTCTTATTTGCCAATTAATGTCTTGCTGTGTAAAGACAGAGCTGAAGTGGGAACTGCGTGTCTATCCTTCATCATTCTGCTGTCATAAAGAACTTTTATTTTTGTCAAATAGCCTTTCTTTCGTTACTTTGGCGAATAGGGTGTCATGGACAAGCCCATTGTACTGAGTGATGTACAGGCAGAGAGCAGAAAGATGTGCTGTGCCCCAAAAGAGCTTCCAGTCTCATATAAACACAGCCCTATAGGTGTTGTAACATAGTTTATTTCTGGAATCTGTTGGATTCTTTTAAAAATTAAAAAAAATATGGTAATAACAGCACATTTTTGAACAGGAGGTGTTTGCAGTGCTCTCCATCCTCCTGAGCTCCTGATGTGAAATTCATAATTTGTAGTTATCTGGCTGGATTCTGTCAGGATGTCTTTATTCTGTGAAAGTATGAGGGAGGAATCCCTTTTTCTGTGAATGCCCAGGTGCCCATAGCTCTGGTCTCTTAACCTCTTAAGAGGAGAACTGTGCACAATCTTCAGCTTTCCTCATTCTTTTCTGTGTTGAGCAGCTTCCAGTGCCAGCCAGGCACTTGCACATGCTCAGCTTTAGAGCACCCTTTCAATCAGATCTGGCTCTTGTATGTTGGCATATTTCTCCAGGAAGGCTCCTGTTCTTTTCAGTGGATATATTTAAATCAGGATTTTTCAGTGTGTACAACCACACCATGGTTATATCCTTGATGATGAAAACCTCAAGCACACTGTCCCTGTACCATATGTAAAATTAAAGTTATAATTTGGACAAATTAAAGTTAATTTTCGTAACAAGGTGCTTCACGAGTAAATCATAAAATGGTGTCTCCTCTTCTCTGTCCTATGGGTTCTACAATCATTCCTCCTCTCTGTTTGCACTAGGCTTTTGCTCCCCCTTTGTCCACTGCTGGTTTATGGTCCCCGAGATAGATGGACAGAAAGAAACACCTGGTTACACACACACATTTTACCCTCTAGAGCGTGATGCTGAATGCCACCAGCATACCTGTGTCCTGTTTAAAATACCACTTAAGTGGAAAACTCAGGAAATGTGGCAGTGGGGATGAAACAACGTGGTTAAAACAGCCACTGACCCCGGTCTCTCAAAACATATATCTGCCCAAGGCAAATATCCTCACACTCAGCCATACTTTTGTTTTAACAGCAGCCTCACCACTGCTTTCTGGGGCCACCACTGGGGAGGAAGAGGCCTCATCATTCCCCTGCCTCGGTGCTCGGACTCCATATAGGCTTGACTAGACTTTATTTTGGCTTCTGCAGCACATTCAGGGCAGCCTGACCTCTTTACCAGACGCTTGCTTGTCATAACCTTTATGCATCTGAACATTTTGTATTACCGGCAGAAGGAGCTGCTGAAATTTGTTCTCCTGCCTTCTCCAGCCGTGTCAGCTCCCCAGGATGAAGGTCAGCCATCACAGAGCACTGCCTGAGTCTGCTCCAGGGGCTGCTTTTTGGAATGTCTCTGCAGCTCCTGGCCCCTGCCGTGGGCCAGCAGCTGAGAGCACCCACTGCAGCCACCTCGCCTGCCCCAGGAGCTGCTGGTGCTGCCAGCTCACCTTGTTCAGCCTCTGCTCCAGGCTGAACGCTCTCCTTGCAGGGAGGTGCGGGTAGGTAAGAGTTCCAGGTGGGAATTGTGCCTGGGTGAGTGATACATCTCTTACACAGCCTGGGGAGTGGGTTTTGTACACCTGAAAGGCAAACAGAAATCCTTGGAATTCACTCTTTCCCCCCCTCCAAATCTCCCCTTATAAAAAGCATTTTATGGACTCATAACAAGCCAGGCAAAATGTGGGTTGCCCCTTTCTACCACGTTTTTCACTTTTTGCCAGTTTTTACTCTGTATTGAGTCACACCCTGTACCAATGACCTTCACAGGCTCCCGACTGCAGGAGGATGCTCAGTCTCCTCCCTGCAAGGGGACAGGAGCGCAGCACACCTCAGATGGATGCTGGCTGGGCAGGTTGAAATTATTAACTCCTCTGTCTGTAAAGCCTCTCTGGCCTCTGACC